CTGCACTCCAGTCTGGGCTACAGAGTGAGACTCCAACTCAAAAATAATAATAATAATAATTAAAGTCTGAGCGTTTCAAGATAAAATCTTTGACTGGGCATGGGGCTCATGCCTGTAATCCCAGCTCTTTGGGAGATGAAGGCAAGAGGATTGCCTGAGCTCAGGAGCTCAAGACCAGCCTGGGCAACATGGTAAGACCCCGTCTCTAAAATAAATAAAAAAAATTAGCAGTGTGGTAACATGCACCTATGGTTTTAACTACTTGGAAACTGAGGCAGAAGGATTGCCTGAGCTTAGCAGGTCAAGACTGTGGTGGCCATGTGCGTGCCACTGCATTCTACCTTGGGCAACAGCGTGAGACTCCGAATCAAAAAAAAAAGATAACATCTTGTCAGTTTGTCTGTCATTTATTATGTATCTAGGACAGTGCCATGCACTGTAGGTCCACAAATGTGTAAAACTTGATCATTGCCCTCAAATTGCATATGACCATAATTTAAGGGACAAGATAGTATCTAAAATAATATAAAATATAGAAGACTTAATGAAATCTAAACTGAACTGTACAGATTCTAAGTACAGTAAGAGTTTAGAGTGGGGCAGATCAGACATGTATGTTGTTTTTTAGAAAGTCAAATTTCGGCCGGGCTCGGTGGCTCAGCCTGTAATCCCAGCACTTTGGGAGGCCGAGATGAGTGGATTGCTGGAGTACATGGGTTCGAGACCCACCTGGGCGACTTGGTGACACCTTGTCTCTACAGTACATCAAAAATTAGCCAGGCATGGTAGCGCGCGTCTGTAGTTCTGGCTACTTGGAAGGCTGAGGCGGAAGGATCGCTGGAGCCCAGCAGGTCGAGGCTGTGGTGGCCGGGAGCGTGCTGTTGCACTCCAGTCTGGGTGACAGAGTGAGACTCCACCTCAAAAAAAAAAAAAAAAAATTCAGAGAAAATAAATTTTTACATCTGAGAGGGAGATAGTTCAGGAGTGATCCAAATGAGATATTCAGAAATGACTTTCTGAGAATTCAACCCAAAATGACTCTCATGAATTAGAGGACAACAGGAACCACTTTGATGAGCTCATATGTGTAAAAGGCTGAAAGGAAGCCACATAACGAAGGATGACTATAGATGATAGGGGCTTATACCTCCCCCAGCATCCAATACTCCATCCTAGCAATCCGCAGGTGTTAGGGGCTTTGCACAGACTTGTGCACCCTGTGAAGTGGGAAGGCATCTCTCTGTCCTTGTTTTGTAGGTAGATGAGGACAAAAACTCAGGTAAGAGGTCAGCTTTTCTGGCCCCAGTTCCCCTCTTTTGACTCTGCCACCCTGCTTCTCCTCAGAATGTGAGTTGTGCCAAGGACATTTCCCCCAGGCTCAGAGAAAGAAAGCATAAGAACAAAGGAGGCCCCAGGCCTGTTACCACATAATGGTAAGGATGCTGAAGAACTCATGACTTGAGTTTGCTTCTAGCCGGAAGGATGCCTAGCTGGAGAGGGTGTGAGAAGGATGCCTGGCTGGAGAGGGTGTGAGAGTCACCCCCGTTCCTGCTTCTTCATCAGCCAGCTGCAACGGGATACACATCTTGCCCCTCTGTACTTGAGTTTCCTCATCCATAAAACGGGTCATGGCGCCTGTGCTGTCTGCTGCAGTATGTTATCATAAGGATCAAAGAGATAAAGTAAGTTTACACTGTTTAACATTTCTTAACTGTGGAATAACTGTGAAGAGTTTTTATTAAGGGAAGTGTCTGAGGTGAACAGAGCCTATATAAAATTCTTCATGTAATGCCTTGAGTAGGTGATAATACCTTTTTTATTTTTTTGAGTGGGCTTCTCAGCCCAGGATGTAATGCAGTGGCACGATCATAACTCATTATAGCCTTCACCTCCAGAGTTCAGGTGATCCTTCTGCCTCAGCCTCCTGAGTAGCTGGGACTGCTGGTGCATGCCATCAGGCCCAGCAATTTTTTGATTTTTTGTAGAGATGAGGTCTAGCTGTATTGCCCAGGCTGATCTTAACTCCTGGGCTCAAGCGATCCTCCTGCCTCAGCCTTTCAAAGTTCTGGGATTACAGGCATGAGCCACCACATCTGCCTTTTTTTCTTTTGATAAGACATGAAAAGTATTGCTAATTGTTTTGATAACCTGTGACACTTGTTAATGATAACGATCATGAAGGCCATAAAACATAACAGTTAGAACATGGCCTTCGGAGCCAGATTGTCTGGACTTAAACCCTGGCTCTACCTCCTTTCAGTAACAGTTTATCCTCAGATCATTTATCTTCTCTGTGCCTTAGTTTTCCCTTCTGCAAAATAGGTATAGGGCTGTTTTGAGGTTGAGTTAATACATGTAAGGCATTTAAACTGTACTTGGCACACACAGTAATAAATATGCTGGATAAATGTTAGCCACTGTTACTATTATTAAAGTATTAAAAGTAACAACTTTTACATATTTGGCAATAATTCAAGGGATAGAAGCCAGTATATTATGGTGCTGAGGGGCACAGACTCTAGAGTTAGACCTGAGTTGAAATCCTAGCCCTTTCACTTGCTAGTTGTGTGACACAGGGTGAAGCATTTGACTTTTCTGAGCCATGGTGTTCTCCTCTACAAAACAGAATAATCCCTCCCTCACAGAATTATTGTGAGGATGAAATAAAACAGTGCATTTGAAGAGCTCGGCATGGTGCTGTCTGGGGTAAGGGCTCCAAGTACTGTCACAGAATGCATTTTTAGATAACTAACCAGTACCAGGCAAGTTTCCCTCATGCTAAACGTTCGCAATAGTCTGTTTTGACAGTGCTGCCTTTTTTTTTTTTTTTGCTAAAGGTATGACTAATATCATGGGGGTGAAAGTATTCACCGAGATGGTTATAAATTAAGAAAGGTAGATTTGGTTTTTTTTTTTGAGTTGGAGTCTCACTCTGTCGCCCAGACTGGAGTGCAGTGGCTGCTCCCGGCCACCGCAGCCTCGACCTGCTGGGCCCCGGCGATCCTTCCGCCTCAGCCTTCCGAGTAGCCGGAATTACAGGCGCGCGCTACCACGCCCGGCTCATTTTTTGATTTATTGTAAAGATGAGGTCTCGCTGCCCAGGCGCATCTCGAACCCGCAATCCACTCACCTCAGGCAATCCACTCGCCTCAGCCTCCCAAAGGCGTGAGATTACAGGCTGAGCCACCGAGCCCGGCAAGAAAAGTAGATTTGTTAAAGGGAAGATATGTTGTGAAGAGCACAACAGGCAGAGCAGCAGAGTTTGCTGTCTGCCCTATCTTTTTTTTTTTTTTTGAGACTGGGTTTTACCCTGTTGCCCAAGGCTGGAGCACAGCTCCAGCTCACTGCAGCCTTGATCTCCCTGACTCAAGTGATCCTCCTGCCTCAGCCTTCTGAGTAGCTGGGACTACAGGCGTGTACCACCACGCCCAGCTAATTTTCTTATGTTTTGTAGAGAAGAGCTCTCATTATGTTGCCTAGGCTAGTTTTGAACTCCTGGCCTCAAGTGATCCTTCTTACTGAATCAATAAAGTCCTCTGCCTGGAGCATTCAAGAATCTTTGTAATATGGCTCCAACCTGTTTTTCTAGACTTATCTCTCCCTCCTGCCTTGCACAAAATCAAATGTTTCAGTCAAATTAGATTATTTAAATTACTTGCTATTCCTCACCTTCATGTCTTTGCTTGTTTTGCTTTATTTGCCTGAAATGCTGTATCTAACCAGTCGCCTCCTGCATGTCTCAAAAGTCCTACCTTTTTCACATATTCTTTTCTTTTTTTTTTTTTGAGTTGGAGTCTCACTCTGTCACCCACACTGGAGTGCAGTGGCTGCTCCCGGCCACCGCAGCCTCGACCTGCTGGGCTCCGG